TTGGCTTGGTGGGGGCTATTCCCGGGAACTCCGTGACATCCACAGTGGTAGCAATCATGACCTGGCAGAACCCTGAATCCCAGTTTGACTCAAAGATGCCAAGAAGGGTTGGGAATAGGAGCTCAGTTCCTAGTCGGGCCACGTCATCCTGGCCCCACTCAGCGCTGTCCTTGGGCAGGTTGCTGTCCACTCATTCCCTCTTGTATAAAATGGAGATGACATGAGTACCCGCTTCAGAGTCAAGGACTAAATGGGGTAGTGCAAGGGGCTTCGCACAGTGTTGCTGCAAGCATAGAATCCTGCAAGCTTCAGATGGCAGGTGTCTTGTCTCGTCTGTTTTACTCATGTAAACCCATGCCTGGCATATGCCTGGAACATGCTCTGTAAATACAGGGTTCATGTGTTGCCTCTGATGATTACTGTGGGAACGCTCAGAAAATGTGGGTTGTGGCCCGGACCCCACACTTACCAGTTCCTCCTGCACAGCCCCAATAAGCAACTTGTTTTCTTGGAATTTTCTCCTTCCATCCTATGAGTCAGTGCTAATCCACTGCCAGTGGCTGGTGTCTCCAGAGGGCCGACTTGGCATGAGAAACCCCTGTAGGGATTCCTTAGTTCTTAGCTACTCCATGAACCCCCTGTTCCTTTTGTGGCTTTTTGTGATTTCACTGTCTCCTCCCCACCGGTTTCAAGTTGCCTCAGGGAAGAACCTGTTGGGAGAAAAGAACCTGTGTCTTCCTGCCATCTTCCCACCTGGCTCCCTGATGCTGGCCCCTTTTCCCCCAGGCATAAGATGCGGACTGTCACTACCTAGGGAAGTTACTTACCACTGGGCCCCACCATGCCTCTCTTCCTGAGGAGGTGGTAATATTCTGTTGTCTCTTGGAAAAGAAGGAAACTGTGCTCTCCTTGACTTCATCTTTTTAATCTGGGGTTCCCTTAGCAGTTTCCAGCCAGACCTTTCTGTGTGGAAAGCCCCTACTTCTCACCTTCACATAAAATTCAAGGGGAGACTTAAAGCAACACTTTACAGCTTAAATGCCTATCAAGAGCTCAAAGGGCGGTTTCCAGGTAAAATTAGAAGAGACCTTGGGTGCATTTCTGCTCACCCCAGAGATGTTCTTCTAGAACTGTGGCTAGTCTGACACTAGCTGCTGTACTGCCGTCCATGCTGGCACTGCCTACCCAGAGTTGGCATCAGGCTCCCCAGGTTTAAAGGCACAGTCCTCAATGAGACTGCTCCCCACTTAAGATGCCAGCTGCATGTGGGGGTTCCCAGGGACACCACACTTCTAACCAACTGGCTACAAATCCAGGGGTTCCCATGACCCTTCTCAGATTCCAACTCAGAAAAGTCAGGAAAGCGCTGTATTGCATTTAAGACTACAGTTTTATTATAAAGGATACGAATCAGGAATAGCCAAATGAAGAGACATGTTGGGCAAGGTGAAATATTACAAGTGTTGTGGTATTCTTTTTGTTTTGTTTTGTTTTTTTGTCTGATATTCTGGAAACTGCCTCAGCTATCTCAGTTACCTGCTACCTCCTTCTACTTTTAAGCATTTCCTATGTGCTTAGAACTTTCATTATCTCATTTAATTTCTGCTACTGCCTTTTGAAATCTTTGATGTTATTATACCCATTTTTCAATGAGGCATTGAGGTAAAGAGGGGCGGTGACCACCTCAAAATGACGCAGCTAAACGATACCCCAGCTAGGATTTGAATCCGCTAACCAACTCTGGGTCAAAGATGGAGCCGCCTTTGAGGCTAAATTAGCCCCAAGCACAATTCGCGAGATGTTCCTTCTGGCTAGGAGACAGTTGTCTTTCCCTTACGAAGGCTGGCTGTCAGGAGATGGCTGCCCGTGTCTGTTACTTGGTGCATTACTGTGGCTTCAGAAGGGAAAGGACCTTGCCCAGGGGAGCCCCGTCGGGTTGCCCTGCTCCGTCCGGGCAGTATCCAGCCACTCCGTCAGGCCCATTCTGTGGACACCCCATCTGGGAATTAGGGAGAGGCAGAATGGAGAACTGGAAGGTGCTGGCTGTTTCGCTTTCCCTCCCAGGGTTGTCTGTTTCCGGTAGCCTGGAGCAGAAGGGGCTCTGAGCCAAATTCAGCTGGGCCAGTCCCTTCTGAGCCTCCTGGGGCCACGGCAGAGACTCATGGGGGACCGTGTAGAGAAACACTCCATGCTGGGCCTGACCTAACAGATGTTCCTTTATCACCTTTCCTCCCTTTCCAGGTGGTAGAAATGCTGTAGTAGGCATTTCTGCCACTGCTGGGCCCCCGGGACCTGCACAGGGTTAGGTCAGAAGCCAAACCTTGCAGTTTGGGAAATTAGCAGCACTTGTGGGATTCCCAAGAGACTTCCTGGTTCTCTTAGCCATGGCAGTGGTTCTCATTTGGGGGTGTTACTGCCACGTAGAGGGTATTTGCAAATGGGGGAGAGGAGTCACAATGACAGGATCCTGCTGGCATTTACCCAGTGAGGTCCAGGGATGCTAAACAAACATCCTGCAAGGAGCTGGAGGACAGTAAGGCACAAACGACAAAAAATACTCCTGCCCATGAGAGGCTCTGGGGAATGACCCATGTACTCCCCCTGCCCCCTGGTGCCTTGGAAAGCACCTTCCTGCCCAGTCCCCAGGCTGAATGAATGGGAACTAAAGAGCACGCCTCCCTCCCAACCTGTGACCAGTGGCAAGGCAGTATTTCCAGGTGAACGTGGGCTGGTGTGAGAGGAGCATCTGTCTTACACCCACTTGCTCTGATTCTTCATATATGGCTCTTGCTTCAGCTGGGCTCTTGTGGGTCAAGGAAGGCCTGGATTTGGGTGGTAAGGATTCACAGAGCAGAGGGAGGCCTCCTCCTTGCTGCCTGGCAAGCACTTCCCTGCAGCCCACCTTGCTCGGGGTTCCTCTCCCGGAGTTCGCCTCCCGCTTCTGTTCCTGCATCTCATCTTTTCCTCTGGGCTTTTTTTTGTTTCATTATGTTTTCTTCCCATGAAATGTGTTTAGAGGAGTCTAGCTCAGATGCCATGGCTGAACCCCTGTCTTCTTCTTGTTTTGCAGTCGGGAAGACGTCTCTGATCACACGGTTCATGTACGACAGCTTTGACAACACGTACCAGGTGAGGCCCTGGGTACNGTTTCCATTCCTCCTTTCTAGAGGTTCCTGGTAAATACTCAGTAATGGATTTTTCTCACCCTCATTTGGTTGAAAGGAAAAACACATCTCTCTGCTTAATCACGTGGAACTAAACTACCAGAAGATGACAGGAATATTGCTGAGCCATGAGCTGAGATAAAAAAAAGCTCCACAATGATTTGGCTGCTTACTTTTAATAAAATCCTGCCAGTGGAGCTGGGTCTTTGCCTTCAGGAAAAGCGCCGCTTGGCTGCAGTGGTGTCTCTGACTGTTGCTGGATGGGATGCGGGACAGTGTGACCTTGTGAACAGAGCTCTGTGGGGAGGACGGCCTTCTCAGAGGCTGCAGGGGCTGGCAGGAGGGCAGGAGGGACCTCAGGGGAGAGTCTCCTGTTCCTCCACCACGCCCGCCCCTGTCTGATCTGGTTGAATGCCACTGCCCCTCTCAGGCCTCCCCTTGGCTGCAGCTCAGCGGCACTGCCCAGTCAGGCGATGGCTCCAGCCGTTCTGCCACTCTTTGCAATGAGACTGAGAGAGTGACCAGGTGGATGGGCTGTGCATGCTCACTATTTCCAGGTTCTAGCACCTTCTACCCAGGGCAGTTGTTGAGGGTGGGATAAGGGGCAGCAGCCCGATAGAGGGGAGAAGAGCTTGGCACAGGGCAGCCCCTTTACCAGCTCCACTTCTTTATGAGATGCCAGGGCAGAGCCTGGGCAGCGGTGTGCAAGGGGCTCCTTTTTTT